CACCATCATCACCATCAGCACCACCATCAACATCATCATCACTATCATCACCACCACCATCATCACCATCAGCACCACCATCACCATCAACATCATCACCACCATCACCACCACCATCACCATTATCAGTACCACCATCAACATCATCACTATCATCACCACCACCATCACCATCATCAGCACCACCATCATCATCATCAGCACCACCACCATCATCATCCCATCCTCATTATCATCACCATCACATCACCATCACCACCACCATTGCTGTCATCATCATCGTCATCCTACCATCACCATAACCACACTGTCACCAGCACGACACAGTTGCCATCCTTGCCTTCCCTTTCCGCACGTCAGCCTACTCCTCATCCCAGGAAGCACAGACACAGGATAGGCTCGTCCTCTTCCTGGCAGCACGGCTGTGTCCTGACGAGGCTGAGGGGGGGTGTGGACGGAGGGTAGGTGGACACTGAACAGGCAACACCCTCCATGCTTGTCCCTTAAACGGCGTCCTTTCAACACTTCCTCTGCCCACAGGTCTTTGTCCGGTCTCAGGGAACCCGGTGGGGGAGCACTCACCTGGGTGCGGTGGAGCGTGGTGCCTGCAGTGTAGCTTAGCTTTGAGTCCCACTGGCACACTGACCTGGCAGCCCTGGAGGGAGGGAAACTCAGGTGCCACAGACTGGGCACAGGTATACAGAAGGCTGTGGGTCAGAACTAGCAGAGAATCCTGCAACTTCAAGAAGTGCCCAAGCAGCTGTTCCCTAGGAGTGGGCATCGTGGCTGAGAGGGTCACCACTGGCACCGTGTGACACACAGAAGGTGCACAGCAAACAGATGGTGAGCGGGTGCGTGGCGGATGAATGAACTGCGCCATGACACTCCAGCGTCGGCTGCTCGTTCGCTGGTGGTGCTTGTCCCGTGGGCTGGGAATGGGAATCCCTCCTGACAAACGGCAGTGGCCCCCACAGAGGGGGGAGGGGGAGACAGAGCTCGTTTCCCGGTTGTGCCAATTTTAATTATTTATTAACAATTTCCCACGCGAGACCGTTCTCGGCAGAGAGGTCACATCTGTCTGTGAGGCTCTCTGGGAGGCCACCAGAGAGACCTCGACACCCTACCATCTGCCCCACAGGAACAGGCACCTGTGCTCTCAGCCCCGCCCACCTGCTTGGTCAGGTGTGACAGGCAGCTCCCTGCAGAGTGGGCGTTAAGATTGGCTGCCCCCTGGAGGCAGGGTGGGCACCCACGAGTTTGAGAACAGGGCAGATCAGCGGGTCAGGAGGGCAGGCCTTGGTCCTCTGGCTCCCCAGATGTAGGTCTAGCCAACAGCAGAAGGACAGAGCCAGGGCAGTGGACCTTCAGATGGCCCTGGCCCAGCACTCGGGCAGGAATGATCCTAGTGTCCATGTCCCAGGAAGGCTATGACAGACGTGGTTAGGAAGGATGGGCCTGGGGTGGGGGCCAGAGGCAGGAGCTGCTGCCAGCCTGCCCCTCTCCCTTGCCCCAGCTCCTGTGGAGGGGGCACTGGAGGAGGGAGAGGGAAGCCCTGTCTTCAGGCATCAGCCTGCATGGTCAGCAGACAGCTCCTGGCCAGGCTCTGGCTCTCCTGCTGTTGAAGCAGCCTGTTCGTCTGTTCTGCTGAGCCCACTGCCTACCCACCTTCCTTCCCCCACCAGAGAGAGGGACAGGCAGGGAGGGCAGACCATCTGTGTCAGGTCCTGGGCCACCCTGGCCTTTTCGGGGTTAGACCAAACCTGTCCTCACTCCCACCATGCTCATGGGTGCAGAATTCAGAAGCAGAACTCAGGTGCAAGGGGGGGCAGGAGGTCCTCTGGGAAGGTCTCCTCGGGGCCCACCTGAAGCCAGTAACAGCAGCAGGCCAAGGACACAGCTGCCTGGGGCCAGTCCTGGCTCAGGGCCTGCGAGCCCAGGCCAGGAGCGCCCCTTCCTGACCCAGGCGGGAGCAGCCGGGCGGGAGCCCCGGCGCGGCCCTGACGCTGTCTCCTCCTCCAGGTTTGGCTGTGCATCAGATCATCACCATCACCGTCTCCCTCATCATGGTCATCGCTGCCCTCATCACAACTCTTGTCTTAAAAAATTGGTAAGGCCTGGAAATGGGGGGCTGCGGGGTCCCCAGGGAGGTGTGCACAGCGAGGCGCTGACCTGTCGACTCCGGCTCGGAGGTGCAGCCTCTGTGTCCTTTTCCCGTTTGGGGCAGGACGGTCCACGCAGCCTGGCCTGGGCCCCTTGGCCGCCGGCTAGGCGGAGTCTGCTCCATGACGTGGCCTTGCTGTGGCTTCCTTTGTAGCAGGAAGCCGCAGACTCAGCTTCCCTGGACGCCTTTGCCCCCGCCCCAGCTCTGCTCCTGGATCCCTGTGCACCTTGGGGTGCCCCCAGCACAATCTCTACTTCATCACCCCCCAGGCCCTTCCCTGGAAAGGCAGGGACCACCCCACCTGCTCACGGTCTGGGTGGCCAGTGGCTGGCCAGCCTTGCCCAGCCCCTCCCCTGCCCTCTCGTGGCCACTGTTTCTGAAGCAGGTCACGCTTTGCCGCGGGCAGCCTGCCTTCACCTGTCCCTCCTGGAAAGTGGCCTACTTTGAGGCCGGCCTTACTGGGTACGTGCTCCTGACACACTCCTGAGCCACCCAGGGAGCTGCTGGGAGACCCTGCCACCCGCAGCCACCCGCAGCCACGGGGCCTCCAGCTAGCACTAGAGCTTCTGGTCCTCCGTGGAGCAGCTGGGCCCCAGGTCCGCCCGCCTGCAGACACGATGTGAAACAGACAGGGAGGCACTGGAGCAGGAGAGCCAGGCACCCACTGGTGGGCTCTGACACAACCAGGAGCACCTCCCAGATGCCGGGCCTCCAGGCTGCGCCTCCTGCAGCCAGCCCAGGGTCCCCACGTGTCTTCGGGGGCAGGAGACGAGGACAGCACAGGTTGTCCTGAAGCAGTGGAGCTTCTCAGGCAGGGCTGGCCCAGGCCGGGGTTGGAACCCCTGGATCAGATGGACGTCTAGCAGGACAAACCCCTCGGGCCCTCTTGGGAAGGGCGTCATGCCTTCAAAGGAGACAGGGCGTAGCGCCCTCTCTGTGGCAGGTGGCCCAGCCATCCTCGCGGTTCGTAGACACCTGGTCTGCAGGAAGACGCCAGAGTCCTGGGCAAACCTCCCGGGGGCGAGGGCCATGACCAGGGGCCTCCTCTGTGGCCTCGGCCTTGTGCTCGCCTTCTCCTTTGGCAGGGGGAGCCCACTGCAGGAGGCAGAGCCGGGGAGTGAGTGGGACTTCCAGAAGGCAGGGTCCCCGCCCAGCGTGTCCCCTCCCTTCACACGGGCCTTGGGGATAAAAGGGGGACACAGGGAGACAGACTCCACAGGGGTGTCCTTGGCTCCCCAAGCTACAGGAAGGTCCCCCAGCCACCCACTC